TTCTGTGGTTAGTGCTAGTTGTTTTGCGAATGCATGCGCCTGTGCTAATTTTTTTTATTTTTATTTTTTACAATAAGAATATTTTCAATTTAATTGATGCATCACTTGATATTAAATTTTTTTTAATAATTTTAAAAAAATATTTTCACATCGAATACATATTCATAAAAATAATATATTTTAGATGGTAATCACAAAGTTTAAATTAAAAAAAAAAAAAAAACATATCTTGATCAAAATGAAGTGAGTTATGTTGCAGTATTTTTGACAAAGTAAAGACGACTACGTACTATAAAACAAAGAATGGCGCACCCATGTCGTCGATCTGTTGATGCCAGATCGTTTCTAAGACTTTAAGAAAACAGTACGTAGCCAAAGAATTAATTTCTTATTAATTTTTACATGCAGTAAAAATAAGTTATTATACATAGGACCCTTTAATAATTATAGAAAGATTGGGCATCCAAGTGCATGCATCTCAATTCTATATCAAACCTTATCTCATTCTCATTCTAAATATTATACTAATTAATCTTATGTGACACACACACGTAAGTAATTAAGTCTTTAATTTTAAAGAAATATTTAGATTGAAAAAGAAAAATCAACTCTATCTTGCAGTAATCATTCAGCGATACTGTAGACAAATAATTCAACACTTGCAACCATCTTATAAGTAAAGATTTGCCCCCTAAATTAAGACCATCGTCAAGAAGAAAGCCTAGCTAAGTCCGGCCATCGAATTAAAGGACACGATAAAGCAAGACTAGCTAGTATTTCTTTTTTTTTCTTTTTTTTTGAAAAAAAAAAAAAGATACTAAGCTCTTTTTTCCCGAAAGAATCTTTCAAATTGTTATGCACACGAAAATGAAAGGGCGTGCTCATCTTTCGGGACAAAAACAAGAAAGGATGAGGGGGCTGAAAATTTATAAAATAAAATTTTATGAAAATTAAAAAAGAAAGAAAAAAAAACCAGAAAGGAGATAAAACTTATTTTCTTAATTTTCTATTTTAAAGGTAGCGAATTAAGGTGGAAAACATGATTTAAACAATTCTTTAAAAGGACCCATCATGCAGCATACTATATATATAAGAAGCAAAAAAAAAAAAAAAAAAAAAAAAAAAAAAAACCAGCACAGATTATTATTATCCTTCCAAATAATTCTAGTCGATCTATTTTTAAATTTGGAGAATTACATACTTCCAATAATTCATGTTGGTGCTTTATCAAATCAGACGACTATGAGAACATTGACTGTAGAAATTATAATTTTTCGAATGCAAATTGCAGCATTAAATTTTAAACCTTTTTCTTTTTCTTTTTTTGTGAATGGCGTAATTAAAATATTGAGACACTAAAGTAGAAGATCAGGTACACTTTAAGGATCAAAACGCATTATTACCCAAAAGGCCACGCAGCTGCACAAAACTGGAAACTGCGGTCCTTTATGCCGGTTTAGATACAAAAGGCCGGTCCATGTAACTCTTTTTGGGCTGCCAGGCTTTCCAAAACACAATTGGGCCTTGCTCTTCTTATGGTAGGTAACTCATTGTCTGAACGAGTAAATTATAAATTAATCTCTCTCTATTTTTTAAAATAGAAACAACTTAATTATTACTTTTTGTTAAAAAATTAATTGTTTAATATTTTAAATAGTTTTGAATATGTTTATTCTAATATTAATTTATTTTATAAAATGTTATTTTTTCTTGTAAATATTTCCATATTTTTTACTTATATTTTCCTTGTTCTGTTATAAAAATTAAAAAAAATCAAAATAAATTGAAAAAAAAACATTAAGCTATAAAAAAAATTTAAAAATATACGGAATAAAAAATAAATTTTTGAAAAAAAAATAGTTAATTCATTTATCAAAACTAGAAGGAATAAAATTTACAATTTACTCGAACCCACGTAAATTAAGTTTCAGTAAATTTTTTCTCTTTCATCAGCAATTCAAATTCTCGTATAGAAAAGGATTTTTTTTTTTTCGCCTTCTTCGCTTCTTTTATATTGCCTTTGTTGTTCTGTCCATATAAAAGGTTTTTCGCCACATAATTTGAATAACTGTTCTTTTTTTTTTTCCTAAATTTCATCCCATCGTTTTAAAATTAAATCTAAAACCTTTAACTGAAATATATATATATATATATATATATATATATATATATATATATATATATATATATCCTTTAAGAGTTTTGCATTTTCCTTCGAAGCACTTCAAACTTTGGGAAGAATTAAGTATAATATACAGTTTGGGGATGTTATCCTCATTATATAGATTATAATCCAAACCTATTTAGCTCACACACACACACAATGATACATATATATATATATATATATATATATATATATATATATATATATATATGTATATATACCAGCTATACTAACAATCCATCTAAGTTAATTTTTATTATGATCAGGGATTTGGTTGGTCTTGATTTTATTGATAAAAAAATTATTGTTTAGGACAATCTCGTTGATAATTTGAAAATTTAAAATAATCCAATTTATTTTCTTAAAAGACTATCCGTGATATTTACACCATCTAATCCAAAAACAACTAATAAAATACCACAATTTCATCCTCACTCCACTAGCATTTACATTTCTTTAATTTTTAACTAAGTCGAGAATATTATATTGATTTTTAAAAAAAGATTATAAAAAATAAAACATTATCTTGACAAGCAATTGCACTGTCAAGGTTAATTTATTTTATTTTGTAGTTGAGACTTACCTAATGAAAATAAGAAAATAATAATAATAATAAAGTGTAAATGGCAGATAGGATATATATGTGTGTGCACGGGCATGCGTGGAGACGCATGCATGCTTATTTGTGTACCATCTATACTAACAATCCATCAAGTTAATTTTTATTATGATCAAGGATTTGGTTAATCTTGATTTTATTAATAAAAAAATTGCTGTTTAGGACAATATCTCATTGATAATTTGAAAATTTAAAATAATCCGATTTATTTTCTTATCCATAACATTTACACCATCTAATCCAAAAACAACTAATAATTTTTATTGGGTTGTTCCAGACCACAATGTCATCCTCACTCCACTAGCGTTTACATTTCTTTAATAGATTGGGCCTTTTTGAATAGGCAATGCAGTAATTTCTGATTTCCATATTCTATATACAATGAACATGGGGTTTTTTTGTAAGTAGCTGTTAGGGTCTTTTACAACCAGTTGTTGCATCCTTTCATTAATTCATTTGTAAAATGTGGGCTCATTTAAAACATGTTAATGTGGTTTTCTGCCAAAAAGCCTTTTCTGGGCATGACAGCCTGCTTTACCCGAAGAGAATTAGGCCAACATTGAATTTCAAACTTGAAAAAAAGAGGGGTAAGAAAGGGACACATCAGAAGTTTCAGTGCATCGCATTGTTTCCATTTTCAGCAGCTAAAAAGTTGTTCGCTCCTTCCTTCCTTACATGTACTTGATGTCCCACACGCAATTCCCTTCACAGTGATTAAATTTCCACGAAATTTCTTTTTTAAAGGAATATGTGCTTTGTGGGTAATTACATGTTTTATACAAATAATGTGAGTGTTTTTTTTTTTTCAAGAAAAAGGCTCCGCTTGCGCCTGGTGATCTGTAAAAGTTATTTACATAAATTATATATAAGGATGAAATTAAAAGCCAAAACTTCACGTATCATAAATCAAGTTCTTACCATCTGTGTTAGCTTTATGTTTGGTTTAAAAATAAATATAAATGCTTAAAGTGAAAAAATAAAAAACACTCCAATATAGTCGTATAAAGGATGAAGAAAATCAAGATTGAAAAGACATTTTTACTGCCAATTAAACAATTAATCAACGTCTAAATTCTTTTACGAATTATGAATGTTGGCCCATAACTTCACCGTAGAGCCATATATATATATATATATATATATATATATATATATATATAAAAGGTATTTTTGAATTAGATTTTATATAACTTAAATTTATTATTTTTAAATCAAATTACTATCAAATCATGTTTTATTATTAATTAATTATAAAAATTTGATTTTTGAGTTGAGGAACAATTCATATTTAATATCATATAAAAATAAAATGTTAAAAAAAAAAAAAAACTGAATTCCTAGTACAACGATGAATCAGATACGCTTTTTTTATATATTTCATCACATTGATGGCTGATTGATCACGTAAAAGATGCTATATATTTCTCACCCAATGTACTTAGTTAGTAACGTGAAAAATGTTGTATGAGCTTTTAATTAATTTTGATTTCTTTAGGGAAATGGTACAACGAATGTCTAATAGGCACATGTAAAATGACAAATTCACCCCTAATTGTTCGTTTTCACAAGGGAAAATGTGACGAGCAGTTATGGACAACATTGTTTTCATCTCCTTTTAATTTGAGAAACAATAACGCTTTGTTTTCTATAAAGTGCTTCTCTAAATATATTTTTAAAAAATACAATAATTCACTTGGTAAATAAATAAAAATTAATATATATATATATATATATATATATATATATATATATCTTATGGAACATTAAAAATGCATTCTTGAAAAATGCTAAGCATCATTTTTTTTTTATGATTAAAACATTCTCATGCTAACATTTGTTCATTAAAACTAAATTTCTTCCCAATCAAATCCAAATAAATAATCCATATTTGAATTGTTACGTATAAAAGAAAAAAAAATTAACACTCAAGCTAAGTTATCAAAAACTAATTAACAATATTTCTCAAAAAATAATAATAATAATAACCCAAGATTATCATTTTTCTAATGAAAAAAAAGTGATTAATATTTTATTATTATTATTATTATTGAGAGGCTGGTCGAGTATTAAGTTACACAATAAAAGACAACCATTTCCCATTACATAATAATAACCAAATAAAATAGATTTGCCAGAATTTAAACTTATTTTACTATAAAAAAATTATTAAATATACAACGATAAAATTAAATCAATTTGTGGAAAAGGCGATTAATGTTAGCCGCAAGTAGTTAATGGTAATTACAACTCTATGCTCTGGTTAGTTGAACCAGGACATAGAAGAAGCAGGGCTTGAAACTGATTGGTTACAACTTACAACTAGTTGCCTGCTGCTATACCTAGATAGCAGTACTGATAACGCAGCCTTACATCAATCTATGACTATCACGTCATATATACCTTCTTCTCTTTTCAAAAGTTCTCCTCATCGCCTATCTCACCCCATTTTCCAAATTCCCATTTGATCATCCTGTGCCTAGCAGCTGCCGGCGATACTGGATTAATGAAGCATTATTGTATGGGAAAGAGTTTGATGGTCCGGTATTTCAGCTTGAGATCAATGATCTTTCTTGTTTTCTTGACCGTGTTGCTTGTGTTGCTGCCGTTGCTGTTGCCACCATTGCCACCACCTCCGTCAATACTCATGCTTCTTCCAGTTTTGATCATGTCCTTTCTTGTCTTATTAGCCTTCTCGTCATCTCAAATCCCTCATATTGCATTGTCTTCTACTTGACAAGGTATTTTCGATGGATCGATCTCCTTGAGTTTACAAGAGTACTACCAACTTCCATGTATGAAATCAAGTTTATGAGACCGAACCAAGGCATCAAGTCTCTCTAGCTAGGCTACTGTACGTTTACATGGAAGAGATCCAAAGATTCGATCCATGTAGAAAAATGTAACAAGATTTAGATCAGGATTTTGCTAGGGTGTTCTTAATTTCTTTCAAATCCATTTCTTGTGTATGAAGCGAATTGTTTAATATTGTTTTATTAATTGTTAATTAATGGTTACGTAATTGGGAAAAATTTTAAGACACCGGAAGTGCCACGTTCGAAGATTCATGACCGGATGTTCGTGTGATTCGGCCATGGCTTAGAGGTCTTAATTGGAAGTGCTCAACTCCTGTGCTTTTTTGAATTTCGATTTATTCAAAAACCCTGAAGAAAACAACCCGTTTGAAGGAGTATTAATTAGTTGTAACTTTTTACGATTTCATGAAATTAGGGAGTGATTGTCAAAGTAATCAGCGTGATTGATGCCATTGCAAGAGCACTCACAAGCTAACATGAAATTTCCCTTCATGATGTTGATCAAAAAAATTCTTTTACTGTACTGATCATTTGTTTCCATGTATTTTAGTTGTTAAAATACATTGAATATTTATCGGAAAGAAAAAAGGGGGCCACAGTAACTTGAATTTGTGGTAACAGCTAGCAGGCAACCATTCTTTTGAGTCATGGAACTAGACTTTACTTGGCTATGGCAGGCATTTTCAGTCCTGCCAAATACAGCAAATTTGCTGCAACAAGTTGGCAACATGGACATCTTTGATCTGACATATATATACTACCAATAATCTTTCTAATATTCTCTTTTAAATACGCCTATAATAAAAAAAATTGCCTAAAATTTTTTCAAATAACTTTAAAGATGAGCAAATAAATAAAAAGTATTTTTTTTCATATAACTTTAAAGTTATCTTAGTCAAGTTTTAAACGTGTCCAACTTATCACTACATTTAATCGAGAAAATAATAATCCTAAAGTTCAGCTCTAGTTGCTATATAAATAGATTGCCTCTATCTAAATCTTAAAATGATACCTTCTAACCTAGTTGATCTTTAGCGAGTTCACTAGGATTGTCTAAAACGACATTAATAATCGTGAAAATCATCAAATTATCCTTTACCAATGACAACTAGTAAGAAAGCTTGAGGTTTCATGAGTATTTATCCGAAGCAAAACTCATCGAAGCATCACTACTAACTCTTTAGATCCCGAGACAAATGTAAATGGCAGTTATAATTATGCGAGTGATGTGTGTGGGCATTACTTCATACCGGTTTTAAAAATTAAAACTAAGAAACCGTAATTAAAAAGCTACAAGAAGAAGACAAAACACATTTATATATAGACACATTTTCGCTAAATAAAAACATATAAATAATTAAATAACAATTACTTACTTAAAAAATATTGGCATAGAAACATAACAATCAACCAAAGATTCATTAACATAGACGTTCAAAGCCGACTCTAGCATGGCATGTCCCTAGTGGAGTCGTCAATTCTATCGATGTGGGCATGCGAGCGAATACATAGAAAATAAAGAGTCGCCACCGACCTAATTGGAGAGAACTAAAAAATTCTAAACAAGCCGGTCTACGTAGATATCAAGTAAGGGGTCGATTACATATCGAAAGGATATACCATCACCGTCATCCCCTCCTACCCGAGATAAATTGTATTGTTTGCATGTAAAAATAAAAAAATTGATTTTTTATTATGTTATGCTTATTTGAGTGAGTTTATTTTATCGATATGAGATAATAAAGTAATATGGGGTTTAAAGCTGGTATAAGGCTAATACCCATACTAAAAAAAGAAAAGTAGGGAAAGATTAGAATTTCAACTAATCTTTAGCGAACATAAACCTATACGGACAAATAGGTGAATTTTTAAAGATTGATGGCCTTTTATTAACAAGAGCAACGAGTCATCGACAACCTCACTCGGATGAGTGGGAAGCCACCTACGACTTTGAGTCATGGATTTAAAAAGTTATCGACAACTTCACCACATAAGTGGGAAGTCATTGATAATTTGATTTCGCTTGAGCACGAAGTAGGTAACTAATTTGGAAGCTATTGATGACTTCTTCACTTTAGTAAGAAGCTATCGATGGCTTCATTTTAGACAAGTAGATAGCAAGCAAAAAAATTTTAGAATCATCGATGACTCATCACATAAGTGAAAAGCCATTGGTAGCTCCGTTTTAACAATCGAAAATTAAGTAAAACTATTTCAAGAGCATCTAGCAACTCCTTCCACATAAGTGGAAAGCCACCGTAGCTTCATTTCGGAAAAATAAAAAGGCAAGTCAAATGATTTGAGAGCCATTGATAGCTTCATCTATATATGTAGGAAACCACCGATAACTTCATTTTTGACAAACAAAGAGATAGATAAAATAATTTGGAAGTCGCATGCAACTTCATTCATGTAAATGGAAAGCTATCGGTAGTTTCATTTTAGCAAATAAATAGGGATATAAATTGATTAAAAGTCACAAACAGACTTCGACCATATAAGTAGGAAGCCATCGACAGTTTCATTAAATAAGCAATAGGAAAAATCTCAAGCATATTCAAAAAGAATATTTAATAGCACAATCATCCATAACAAATCATTTTGCATTCATTTACTAGTTGAAATAATCCAAATATATTTGAAAGTTACCCAAGCATCGTGAGAATGTTAAGACTTTCTTCCTCGAATCAATTTGTTTTTTCAATCTCTATGAAGATTGATTATTTCAGATCAATTGAGAAGGAGAAAACAAGTTTTTATAGGTGTCGAGGAGGATACTATATGGTGATCGGAATGCCAATGGTTGATTTTGAAATGATCAAAATACCCTTACATATAAAATTATCAAAATGCCCCTAGATGATAAAATAACCATTACCGATTATCCGTTCAACTTCTAGTGATTTTTTAGGCTTGTGAACCACCTTATGTTATAAAGAAGATCATCACGAACTCAACAATGGTGATGGCAACCATAAAAAACGTCGGAGGAAAGAGATTGAAGGCTAAATTTTCCATCGAACCTCCTCCTTTTTTCGACGATATTTTGGCAATGTTAGGGGATTTTTAGGACACCAATCAACTCGTAAGGCTAAGAGAATTTTTTTATGGTGTTTAGGGGATCCAATTTGGCCTTGATTGGTTAATTTTTCTAGGTTGCATAAAATAGGTTAGGAAACGAGCCTTGATTAATTAGTTCATTTTTTGATGAATTTTAGTCACGATTCTAAAAAGAAACCACCCAAGTGGAGTCAATTAACAAGGTCCGTAGTGGTATGAGTTGGTTTTTTACCTAGAATTATGAGATACAAAGGGGCTACTAAATAAGTTGATTCGTAGTAGAAGATTCGATTAGGTAAACGGATCGCTAGGTTCACTATTCGAATAAGGGTATATTTGGTTTTTTTTAATGTTTTTTTGTATAAAGGTTTTTTATGGTGATTTTTATGGGTTTTTTTAGGTGATATAGGGTGGCTAAATGTGTGGAGGGTGTTATGGTGGTTGGTCAAGTGGAAATAAAGCTTAATGGTGGGTTTGATGAAGGGTGATGGCTTGGATGATGGAGAAATATGGTGTTTTTGTAGGTTTGGATGGTGGGAGAGCTTGAAAACCAGCTAGAGAGTAGAGATTAAATTGTTAAAAAATTTAAAGGAAATGGAGGCTTGGGCGTGTGGAGAGAAAAGTGAGTTTTTATAGGTAGAAATTAGGTTTTTTTACGAAAAAATTTGTTTCGATGCAATTCAACTTAATTTGTTAGATTAAGTATAATTTGAGTCTTTGAACTTTAATGGCACCCAAATTATCATTAATCGGACCCTTTCTTAAAAATTTTCTCTAATTGTGTCCCTTATAAAAAAAAAAAAAATTTTGACCTTGATCGAGTTTATTTTAATTCTCAAACTTTCTTTCTTCTTCTTTTTTCTCTTTTCTTTTAAACTCACATATTTAATCAAATTACTTAGGGTAGAAATTGAGTGCTAACACCTTTTATCAAAAGAGTTAATGATACTAGTTTATAAAAAAAGATATATGCTCTTCCCTATTGAAATTTGTATCGAGTGAAGAAGTTAGTTGAAAGCCATATTAATTTAGAATAAATGATAGTTGTTAGGGAAATGCATCCCTAAATTTAAAGTCCTATCAAAAAATTAAAAGGGGAAAAGTCACCATCAGTTTGTTCTAGCTTGAAGAAGAATCAAAAAGGCTTGTACATGGTCATCTCTTCTTCCCCAAGCTTTAGACTACTCTCCTAAGTATAACTTAGACTAAAGTGTTCATGTCAATCTAGAAAAAAGGTATGTGAAAATTATCCACCTCCGGTAAAAAGTCATTTCCACTTGTGAAACTAAAACAATTATTGCCACTATCACTAGGATCATAAATACGATGTCGAAGATTGATACTACTTGAAGAAGGAAATTAAGAGAATGATCATCGGGGATACCTTAAAAGGTTCTTAAGGGATGATCCCAAGCACCATAATACTAAACATGAATGTCATTAGGATAACCTCTCAAAAATTACTCGTCATTCTATAAGGAAAGTTAGGATAAGACAAGTTATGCGAGAAAGAAGTTAGGGAAATACAATCTTCACCACGGCCTAATCAACGAGCACCATGACACGAACCTATTGATTACTCGCTCAAAGATTTAGTGAGGTTGTTTATCCTAATAATGATGCTCTAGTCATCTTTCATGTTATATCTAATTATATAGTTTACCCTATTCTAATAATCATGAGAGTGAGATAAATATCTTATCTAAAGAAGCCTTCAACTTGATAGGTTTAAACCATCTTAACTCCAACCAACCAACACATCGTTGATAGGTCTAAAAGAGGACAAGTGTCTATAGAAGGGATTATACAAATATCTATTAAGATGGGTGCACCTCCTTAAGAAATCACCATTTCACCAACCTTCATTATTACGGAGATATGTCTAGCATACAACATTATCTTTAGAAGACCATTATTACATGAGATAAGCATAATAACTTGCATAAGATACTTGTCTACAAAGTTTTC